AATTATCGCATCGACTCTGGGGGAATGTTATGTTCAACGATATAGTTATAGAAGAAATAAACAAGAGATGAAGAATAAAATATATTATGAGAAGTCTTAACCTATCGAGACGAGGCCCTCAAGCGTCACACGATTAATAACAATAAATAGCTGAAACACATTGTGCCCATTTTATAACACACGCTCACACCGAAACCAGAAGCGACATTAGGAGGGCGATTGCAATTCTGGAGGCAGCTGATGGTTAGTCCCGTCGATCATTGTCCCCGCATTCTTTGCATTTCGATTCTTGCATGGCTCTCCCTCGGTCCTCGGTCGCATAAATGTGGCCATTGGGACACTTATGCCAGAGCCCTTGGCCGAGATGCATGGCCTGTAACGACAGCACGCACCTCAGAGAAACCAACATTGGCCTGAGTCGCAGTTAGACCTCTGCTTACCTGCAAAACCATGATTCGTTCGTGATTCGAGATGCCTGACTCTCCGCAGATGCGAGATGCAGCATCCAAGGCCCTGCGAACCGCTTCATTCATGGCATCCGTGAATATTTCCCGACAGAAAAGCCGAGCCTCTGCTTTCCGAATGTGTTCCCTGGCTTCAGCGAAGCGGTTCGCTTCCCCCTCCTTCAAACAACAAAACATTCTCTTCATCTCTTGGAACCATGATTTGCTCACAAATGCCTTCAAGTTTCGTCGCGCTTCAGTGACTTTCACAGATTCCTCCTCCTCTGAGATTCTTCTTCATACCTCATGTTTTCTGAAGTCGAAAAATTTCGCCGAATAATTTCTTTTCAATGGACTCTTTTGCCAATTTATTGCATACCAAGAAGGCCTAAAACAGTTTCCTACCTTACGCGGTCTCACATGCAACACGTGTAAGGGGCGTCACGGAACTTTCACTGAAATGCCCAAAATCCACGAATGGGCAGTTTTCCAAGCGAACGCCAAACCTCAAGGTCAAGAAGATCTGAGGTCTACGCCCGCCCGTGGCAATGGCAGTCCTGTGCGATCGCGAGCGGAGGAAACAGCCAAGGTGAGAACGGCGAGCAGACCCATGCATTTAATGCATCACAGGGAAAATACTCTCACTTGGGTTGAAGATCGATTTGATCGAAGTTATCGTGAAACTCTCTGGAAAAAATGATTATGCCAAACTGAAATGACTGGGTCATTTTTGACTTGATGTGGGTTACTCACGAATAATTCGACCGAAGTTGGGTGAATGTATCAATGTGCGCCATGCTAGGTCTGTTTCATTAAACCAGCGACACACCAACATAATAAGACGAAAGTCGAGTCTAGACTTCAGTTTTTCGTCACTCGGGCCAAATTTTGTGATTAATTTGAGTTTGGCATTACACTGTCAACGCAGGCTGTGAGGTCAGTTCCAAGATGTCCAGGCTGATATTGAGCCCCCAATCTGATGCAAGACTTTCGATACACTCTATACATTGCAACCATCACTAGATGATCAAAACCGATTCACCTATGAGCCAGAACATCTTTGCGAATGAAACTGCAAAGAATGTGGAAATGTATGCCATCACCTGGAGCTTCCAGTAGAGACCGAAGAGCTGCAAACGCGCGACCTCCCCCGCGAGGGCCTTCAGTTCCCAGTCGTTGAAGCCCCTCGTCCTCGACAACACCCGTTCCGCGATCTGAGAGAAGGAGAATGCGTGAGAAGAGCGATTCGACTGCGAAGCACACGTTCGGTGGGCAAAGGAGGTTCGACATGGACGAATTCTTTTGGCAGACCGTCTTTGCTCTTCGAACGAGTCGAGCCTTGATAGCGTCGCGGTGACCCTGCACTGCAGCGTCCAACCTCCTCAAAACTTCCTTCTGGTTCTCGAAGAGCACCAACTCAAACTCATTAATATTTGGAGCATCAGAAGCGTCGCAGAACTTCTCGATCTGGTCGATCTTACTCTTGGCGCTGTCTTGGAGCGCTTTGAATTCGGATTGCAAATGTGGACTTTCGCCTGTAAACAAAAAAATAATTAACTTGTTTGTTTTTTTTTCATTCCTAGTTAATTTTCATCCAATACCAAAAACTAAATACAGATTCTTTATCAAATACCGAATTCAATGTTAGTAAACATGCGGTAATTCCAGTATCTGAGCCATTAAAAAACAGAAGAATTTGTTCTTCATGAGACTTTGGAATTTTGAAAATTAGGGATATTCTAAGTATTTATTATTTTATCCCTAAAGAGGATGACTAGTGTACAGGGCGTTTCAAAAGTCACTTCCATTGTTCAGACGACTGCCTCCAGGAAACCGATGGTCACAACGTTGGGAGTCTTGGTGTGTAGACAAATTTGACTATGCGATGGAAAACGTATACAGTTCCATGGTGGCCTGTTATGACATTGTGATCACACATGGTAGCCTATGGTATCTTAGGAAGAGGATGCATATGCTGAATGCGCATTCGAACAGTTTTTAACAAATCACAACAAAGCAGCAGCAGTTTGAAATGTGTTGTCGCGATTGGAGATGATGACTATCGCAAAAGGAAAGCACATCGAACAGCTATTATAAAAACGTATGCCATTTGTGGACCATAGGTACCATTTAATATGACCAAAATGCCATCGTAAGCCACAGCATGACTGCGTACGTTTTCTTCCGCACGGTCAAATTAGTCTACGTACCAAATTTCGCGACGTGTCTATCTGTTTCCTGGAGGCAGTCCTCTGAACAGCCGAAGTGACTTGAAACGCCATGTAGAACGGATTGACGGAAGCACTTCATCCATATTATTTGCTGCATATCAGCTTATGTAAGCGCATGAAGACGGCTGGTGTTGACATTTCTTCTCAGCATGATGTGAAAGTACCCAGTTTTTCCCTTTCACGCCCGAACCTGCCTCGAGAATCGCGTTGCCAAACGACCGCTCATGCTGCACAAGAATTCCAGGGATTTTCACCTCCTATGTTTGCCTTTAACGCATGCAGATTCGCTTGACCTGCCCTTTTTGTAACCGGTAGATACATAAAGCATAAGGTAGATGCATAAAGCATAAGGTAGATACATAAAGCGAGTCTGACGATACGATTCCTAGAGTGCGTGTGTCTGCACCAGCGCGCGTTTCCAATCCTTCATGCAGGAAGAGGCAAGGAAAGGCAACCCAAACCGCCTCGAGTTTTCTTCTACATTTGCAATAGATTCATGCGAAGTTTCACGATTCTTTCCGGTCCGTTCTCTGGTGGTAATTATTTTTAATAAATATCACATTATAGCATACGTAACACTTCCACTGACCTCTTTAAATACCAAACTCCTGTAAGATTTTTTAAAGCCAATTTTTCGAAGCAGTCATACACTTGTGAATAGTTACAGTGGCAGCTTCTGAGATTGTTTTATCATTTTAGTACCAGGGAAAGCTCAGACAGTTTCGAACTCACTATGCTGTATAAAGTCTTGGAAAGACTTCTG